TCAGGAAGGCTGTCGAGGGAACTAGGTCTGGTTGGGCCAAAAAGGGGCAACTATCAAGACCTGTTCCACTCCTGACTTAGCACAGTAGGTGCAAGCCACATGTACGCACAAGACAGGAGCACTGCTCAACACTAGATGTGATAATTCACTGAGCTTCAGGAGTATTTCTGCTCAACACCTGAGTGTGATTAAATTCACTGAACTTGAGCAGCGCCAAGCGATGTTGAATCGCATAGCCGCTTTCTTAGAAGGCTCACTGGGGAACGCATTTCTGCGGGGCCCCGGGGTCAGCTGAGAGCCAGTGTCTATCCAAGGGATGTCCGCTCAGACAGAAACACAACTGGCAGAGGGACGAGTCTGGAGAGGCAACAGATGTAACTGTGCGGCCCCAAAGTGGTCCCTGCCCAGCTGGACCGCCAGGGTATGGAGTCTCCACTCTCCCTGGCCATAGCTGTCGTGAGGCTCGTTGGCGGCACGATTGAGCAGGCCGGAAGATTTGTATAGTGGAATGAAGCGACCTCAGAAGCTTCTGACTCCAAAGAGGAGGTGACGGGCGAGTTGTGACATGCGAGGGAAGCTTAGCGCAACGGTCGCGATGTTGTCTTTTCAGACCAGTACCAGCTCGCTGAGCAGCAGTGGCTCAAAGCGAGGTGAACTGCCAACTCGAGGTAACAAATACCAATGCAGTCGGAGGTCGTCCAGGCCTCTGTTAAAGCATGCCCTTTGTACATGGCCCCTCAGTCAGTGTTAGTCGACCTGAAGGTCTGAACACGGGCTGAGAGTTTGGCGGCAGGCCGGGGTGATCTTTTATCACACAGGTAAAAGATCACCCTGCTGAAGCGGTCTTCATATGGAGGAAGCCAAGTGGCTGCGTCTGCCATATGCCCCAGGAGCCTCTGAAAAATTTCTTCAGTGGGACCCTTTCTCACTTCTAACACTAGCCTAACACTCTTCTTGAAGAGACGTGTTGAACCGAGTCCATCTCCTGAACTGAAAAAGAGAGACACAGCCCGTGGGCGAGATTACTCTCTCCCAGTTGACCTGAAGACCCAACTAGCTATGGAGCACTTGAAGGGTAGAACTTGTACTGATACTTCGTACCTTCGAACGCAAGAACACAGGTCTGTGGAGCGGAAGGGTAGAGATCTGAAGTACTGTCCTTCAGGTCGAACACTGCAGGTCAACCTTGGGGACAGAGCATTTGAAAATGCATCTCTGTGTAAGTAATTGAATGGAGGCTTTCGAAAAAGCGCCCGTTTCAATTGACACAGGTCCAAGATGGCCATGACCCACCACATATCTAGGGTACAATGAAGTACGGGTAAAAGAAACCGGTCTTCATATCGGCTGAGGAAACGGCTACATCGCGTCCTTCGCCAGTAGGACTGCGACGTGCGCACACCGGACAGGAGCAGCGCTCAACACCTAGGTGTGATAAATATCACTAATTCTAGGAGCATTTAGCTCAACACCTAGGTGTGAAGAATATCACTGAGCCAGGGCGGAAACCAAGCGAAATGAATTGCAAGCCGAGTCTGCTGGTCAACTCAGGGCCAAGTGGAGCGGTAGGAAGCACTTCAGGCTTACACACACCATACCAGGGGCCAGAGAGACCACAGACGTACCCGAGGTGGGGCAGCGAGGTGGAGAACAGGGACCCAACTCGAGAGGCCCGGAGGTGACCCGAAGGAGGGTCTGAGTGTGCAGTGCAGCACTTACCTGACTCCACGAACGGCAGGGGATGCTTGAGAAGGCGGATGACCGGGTCGTCGAACCGCACCAGGGTGCCGGCTGGCGAACAAGAGGGAGCTGAAGGGTGCAAGGCTTTGCTGGGTCACACACCGCCAACTAGCCCTCTTGGGGCCCAGGAAGGGAGAAATTGCTCTTTCTTTGAAAATGTGGGTACCGCTGGCTACACTTTTATGGGAACCAATGGCGGAACAATACACACACAAAAACAAAAACTTCACTCGGTCCTCTTACGAGTGAAGGGAGTGGCCGGTGACCATCTCCAAGAGCTTTTCCTCCATCCCTGGGTGGCCCGCCTCAGGTTCAACGCTTTCGCTGTCGCTTGCCACCTGGATTGGCAGCGCCTAAAGCGGGCGGGGCGCCCCTTCTGCGGCCGGCTCCAAGCTGAGACCTAGGTGAAGGCTACTGCGATGGTCCAGCAGGAGCAGAGGCGGCTGCAGGCGGGCGCCCTCGGCAACGAGCAGGCGCAGGATCTGCCACCGACGAACGGGTGGAGGCAGCAGCAGGTCGTCGGGGCAGGATGTGCCGGATGGCCCCCGTCTGCTTTTGGGCGGCCGAGAACTGCTGGGCAAAGTTCTCAACCGCGTCGCCGAACAGCCCAACCTGAGAAATGGGAGAGTCCAGGAACCGAACCTTGTCCGCTTCTCTCATGTCCGCCAGGTTGAGCCAGAGATGGCACTCCTGGACCACCAGAGTGGACATCGCCAGACCGACCGTGCGAGCTGCAACCTTTGTGCCCCGGAGGGCTAGGTCAGTTGCAGTGCGGAGCTCATCCACGAGCTCACGGTCTGGGCTACCCTCGTGCATATTCATGAGTGCCTGGGCCTGGTGGACCTGAAGCAACGCCATGGGATGCAGAGAGGAAGCGGCTTGCCCACAGGCTTTGTAAGCTCTGCCTGTGAGAACGGACAAGAACTTACAGGCCTTAGAGTGGAGACGAGGATCCCCCTTCCATGAGGTAGCGGTCACCGGACACCGTTGCATCGCAACAGACCGCTCCACTGGAGGGATAGCCTCGTAACCCTTCGCCGCTCCCTCATCAAGGGTTGTGAGGGGGGAAGAGCTACTCAGGTGGTTTCTGGCAGAGAAAGGTGCCATCCATGCCCTTGTCAACTCCTCATGCACTTCAGGAAAGAAAGGTACCAGAGCGGCGGGGTGAGAACCAGACTGGCCTGCTCCGATAAACCAATCATCCAACCGAGAAGGTTCGGGACACGAAAAGAGGAGTGAGGGATCCACGGGGCTTTGCCGGGTGGATTATCCCTCACAGTAATCTTCAGATCACCCAGCCCAGACGGCACTCCAGGCATTTTCTGGGAAGGTAACCCAGAAGAGACAGTAGAGCGGGGCCTGGGGAAGGGGACTCCACCTTCGCGAACGAAGGCGAGTCTTGATCTTAGCACCAAGACGATCATGTTCCCACAATGAGAACATGAATCATCCACAAGAGCTGCTTCAGCGTGCTCTATGCCCAAACACGTGACACAACTCTTGTGACCCTCAGAGGGGGACAGAGCCCCACCGCACCCAGAAACGCACGGATGGAATGGCATCTTGAAAAAGACACAAAACTCACCCTTGTTGCTCTTTCAGAAATGGGACCCGTCACCAGTGCCGGAGCACACAGGGAATGACCGCGGCAACACTGAATTCAGCGAACTGAAAATAGTGAAGCACTCACTTTTCCGCCCTCAACCAGCTGTCAACACACACACAAATATAGTTAAATTTGCTTGCTGTTAAAACAGGAGTTGAGAGCTCAAAGCTCGCGATCACCGCTGTACTCGCGCTGTAGAACCACCAGGACCGGGAGAGTCTTCCAAAAGAACACCGACACTCGCTCGTTGAAACAACAGCACTCTTCAGAGACATCAAAGACGATCGGCTCCGAAGCGAAAGACAACTAGTGGATGCATCCACTTCCGTATTTATACCTGCGGCGCGGAGTGTGTGATGCATTTCACACACACCAAATTCATTCGCTCGTTTTAATAGTACTCGAAGATGACAGGCTCTCTAAGCGTGATCCCAATCAGTCGACACGTCGACTACGTCGAACGTGAGCAACTGAAAGGGAACTGAAGGCAATGTCTTCCTTCAAACCTGTTACAGTCACCCCGTCACACTATTCTCATCCTTATCACATTCATACTGTATTTTTTTGGAAAAAAATACGGAAGACAAATAAAAATGAAAGACATGACATACCACCTGACATATTAAAGACTATCATGATAAAATTGTGGTTTTAGTTTTTCAATATAAATTGAAAACATTTTGTACAAAAATAAAGAGACCAGTCACACAATTTGTCTATTTTTAACTTCAGTCTCATGAAAATGTGAAAATTATCATAAATGTTACTTTTGTAGTTATTAAACTGTTATGAGGGACATGAGCAGTAGGTAGATGTTTGTTTTATAACAAGTTTTGTGTAAAATCCTTATTAAACCAATTCCATTTTATCCGTTACAGGATTGAGGTGTTTAAATCTGAAAAAAAAACCTGAAAATAATAAAAAGGTCTATAATGCCTGTGGTGGGAAAATATGATTTGTTGGAGTTTTGTGCCTAATGATGTGAGGTATTTAGAAAATTACTCATATGTAGCTTTTAAAAAAAATCCAAGTTGAAATATTACCAAATCACAGGAATTTACCATTTGCGTAGATTAGATGTAAATTTACAGTTATGTATACTTTTTAGTGTACAGATATAATTTATGTATAAATGTATTTTGGAACACAGTGGTGAGCATGAGCACACACACACAAACACACACACTTGAACAGTGATAAATGAAGTAGGTTGTCAGGGACGCATAGCATTGCTGACCCTAAAGAAGGAACATTTGGAAGGACACGGGGCACGTGGCATTTGCTATCTTCCATGTGTGTCTGCCATTCATTCAGCTGAGCACATGCTTGCTTTACTAACAAAGTAACAAAACATACAGTTCAAACAAGCAAATCACAATTATATAACAGAACAGTTTAGTCTTAGGCTCAGTGTTAGTGATCAAGTGACAAATTAAACATCAAATTAGATATTTGAGACATATTTATCACATCAGGAGTATAGGCTATTATTGTTGATTATTATTGATATTATTGTTATTATCAGCACCACAGTAGCTATTACATTGATTTGCATCCTTTGATCTGTCATATAATGATTTGTGCACAATATAAGCAAATAGACTTCATTATGCATGTAGTCTCAAGCCAGTGTATTTGTGTAGATGCTACTTACATTTAAAATGGTGTTGGCTTCATTCTGAATGCTTTCAAATGTGTATTTCTCTGATCTTCGCTGTCGCATCTTAAAAAGGCGTGATCCTCGGTTTGACAAGAGAGAAAGTTCCTCCAGCATGATGTCTTTTGGAGTGGAAAGTTTCTTCCCCAGGTCCATAGTAAACCCTGCATTAATATAACATTTTTGTTATAACAAAATAATTCAACAGAGTTGAATGGAAAATGGATAATCTAAATTCTTGGATAACGCTTATATATATATATATATATATATATATATGAACATACATGACTCATGACATTATTACAATTTATATGGACGTTAACTACTGAATATTACAGCACTATAATGTAATAAGGTCTGTCTGTTAATGCCTTAAATGAAATTAAAGTTATTTTGATGTGAACCTTCATTTGCTTCATAATATACATCATCTATTCAAATAGCACATCATATATCATGATATAACAATACCAAGAATACAAAAGGTTTTAGTGTGAGTGTGGATGCCTGTGTTAGACACACATTCTATGACAGGTCACATGGGAAAAACATTTCAATTTAATCGTAAATTCATTATAAACAGGTAAAACATGATGATTGTGAAAGTTTTGTTAAAGGGAAAATTGGATGTCATGTGCTTTTGCTGCAGGAGCATTTACCATGATGATTCCAAACATGATATCTAAAATAGAAAGCATTAATTTTGTGCATCATTAATTGTTACAGAATGATGTTTCAATATGAGAATGTTTAATGTTACTTAAAGCATTTAAAATTGCACCTAATCTAAAAAGATTCAAAAGCTTCAGTGTTTGTTTAAACAGGAGAATCTCTCTTGTTCTACATGATCTTTATTCTGTTCTCATTTCAGCTCCAACACAGCTGTCCTACCCCATCCTCCCAACTTTAGCTTCTGCAGAAATAGCCCATGACAATGACAGAGTGAATCCACTGGCAGGCAGCAGAACATCCATACAAGATTATTTATGGCTAGAATGAGGCTGTGGCCCTGAACCACATTCTAAATGTTGGCCTTTCTCTCTGTGATTGGCAGCTACGTTTTGTGCTGTGCTCTGTAATCATTCAGTGCTGAGGGCAGGTTTTGATAGAAGGTTATACCATTGGCACCACCATGAACCTCATGGCAAAGGGCAGCTGCCTGCATCTTCCTCTCACGCACTGAAAGAGTGCTGAACTGTGACATGTTGGTTTAAATGAGAATCCCAGTAGTGCTGCAATAGATAAAGGACACAGATACTTGAAGTAGAACTATCTAAAGTCCTGATGAAAAGTCCTGAGAGAACCTGTCTGAAAAAAGAAGGTTATACATGAGGATACAAAGACTATAAGCTTTAAAAAATATAAATCTATCATTGTAACAATATTGTATGTTTTTATTGCTAATATTCATGATATGTCTGGATATTCAAAATCTCATTGTAATATAGCCTAACTGAAATAAAAATCCATTTATATAAATTTCTAATTTAGGGCTTCTGTGTAAAACTGTTAAGGATTGCTATGGGGTTTTTGAACCAGAACATTTTAATAGAAAACAGAAAATACAATTTTAATAATTAAGAATATAGGAACCAAAGCAAATCCTTTAGTTGCATTAAATTTCATATTTAGGCTTTCTAAGCCACTGTAAATGTCCTTCCATAATCGGTCATTAAAGCATAAAGGTGAAACTAACCGACCACAAGCCAGATCTTTATACAGAACAAGATATCTTATGTCATGAAGTGATATAAATCAATGGTTATGCACGAGCTGGTGACAGAACATTGTGTCCAGGGTGTAGATTTGGTTACTGAGGCTGACCAAAGCCAATAGAAACTTTTTTTTGGCACAGTTCACACAGCCTTGCTATTTCATCCTTTACTTGTTGCTCACATCAAAAACTTTAAAACTTTAAAAATCTCTGAATTCTCTCTTCTTCTTTTTTTTGGTAACATTGCTAGTATTGCTTAAACTGATTCGTCTTGGTCGACTGTTATTCCTAATTAAATATTTTTTTTCTTACTCAAGTTTATTTTATAAAATTAGTCTATTTGCATGCTTTGTATTTCTGTGACATCAAATTTCAAAATTTCATTCTGTTTTAGTCATCAATCCATTATTAAGTGCACATTTATACATAATCAATCTTCTAAATGACCATCTCTTTGTACCTATGTTTTGTTATCATAGTTTAAGGGTCAGACTGTCCACAAAACACAACCCCCAATATTGTTATAACACATGTTGGTTATCATTATGTCCACACATCGCACACACTCTCTCAAGGAAGGCCAGCTTCGTCTTACCTGTTAAAGCTGTGTTTGTCTTGAGTTCTACCTGTACAAATGAAGAGTTTAACTTTAGATAGATCGATTCCGCCTGATTTGTCTTTGTCTCGCACTCTGTTATTGACTTGCACTGAGGTGGGGGTGTGTGCGGGTGTTAGTGGAACGCCAGCTTACATCAATAGGCTAATTTTAGCTGTGTTCAGCACTCAAACCTCTCACAATGCTATAAGATGGTATGGAAGGGGGAGGGAGAACTGTATGCATGAGAATAAAGTGTACAAAAGTCTGTGGGTGAGTACTTGTGTGTAAACGGTGATGGGGCTTTAGTCTGTGCAATTCTTAGCCTCGGAGGCTGGGATTTTCTTGATTGTCATTAAAGGCGGGCCTTCCAGCAGATAGTTCTCATTCCATACTGAAGCATGGGCAGTATGACAATCCTGCTCTTGCCTTATTGCATAACACATAATCAGGACTCAGAATTGAGAGAGCTGTCTGCTCCAAAAGATCTGACTGAATTATGATAGTAAACATTAGTATTATACAACAGTAACAGCATTTTTGGTCATCATGCTTTAATACAACTCTCTTTATGGTCCAGATTGTTAAATTTTATGATAGATGCAAGAATTTAAAATTGTTTGTGCAGTGCATAAATTGTTAATTTCGAGGTCCCGAAGTGAGAAATAAACATGGGAAAAAACTCTCAGAATTAGCATAGACATTTAGGCGTGGTTTCCCGGACAGGGTTTAAATTAAACCAAGAATAGGCCTTAATCTAGAATAGTTAATCGTAGTTTTAAAAATGGCTTTCTGAAACTCAGATTAAGTATAGACTACTAACACCTGGACTATTCAGTCCTGAACTAAAATAATCAACATAATAAATAATCATCTGGTCCTTGACACGGTGTAATATGTAACTTGGTGTTGTTTATCTGAGGTAAACTGTTGTATTTGTGTTTTATTTACCTAACTTTAAGACCTGCTAATGACCAGATGGTTTTTATTATGTTCTGATACATAAAACCATACAATTCTAAAAGGTTTCCTTTCTTTTTCACATGAATATATATATATATATATATATATAATATATTAGGGGTGTAACGGTTCACATAATTCACGGTTCGGATCGATACGATACACTTGTGTCACGGTTCGGTTCGGTACGTTTCCGATACGTTTCCAAAAAGAAAGAAATGCCAGAGAAATTTCCTTGATTTAATTTTTTTAATTATATTTTTATTAACCCTCTTCCACTCTAAGGCATATTTTGGAATTCCGCCTGAATTTAACACACCCAAGTTTAAATATTCACCCTAGACACATACAGTGTAGGAAATTTAAAAAGCTAGTGTCATTGTACAGAAAACCCTTCAGATTTATTAAATCAGATTGCAAAACTTCATAAATAGCATTGTATGCTTTTAAAATATTACGATAAACATAAAAAATAGGACTTAAAATTTTTTTTTATAGAATCCTGTCTTTGAAAATCTGTGATTCAGGTACTGTGTGCTCTGGGGACCTGCTGATTATATTGTTTGACTATACTAGGTGGCAGTATCCATCACATTCTGAGCAAGAGTTATTCAAATATAACCGAAGGGAGGCAAAGTATCATTTTTAGTGCATATTTGTATCCTTTGGATTTTTCTAATACTCAAATGCAATTTTTTTTTTTTTACTAATATTACCCCAAAAATCCTAATTTTAATACATACTAAAGCACTTTACTTAATTATCGATTGATTTTCTTCATTTTCATTCAGGTTTAATCTTTCTATCTGAGAAACGCAAAATGGTATAAAGGAATGAGACCAAGTAACATTGTTTGTGTTTTGTGAATAAAAGCACAACAAATGTATTCTCCTTTCAGGAGACACTAATCAATTAAAAAAAACTGTCTTGTAGAATTGATGTGGTCTAAAACACACCACTTGTACAAATTGAAACATAAATAAAAATGAGAGACTATAGAAATATGAAAGTATATAACGTTAGGCCTAAGATGCACGCTACACGATGCACCGTCACTTTCTCTTTCAAGCTCTTCTAATATTGCTTCAACGCAAGAGAACACCTTTTTAGCTGCTTTTCCCTCTCCAGATGCCATTTTTTAATCAAAACGCTCGAAAAATACAAATATCCAATCATTTTCTGTCAGTCCAGTCGACGTCGTCACTTGTCATTCACTTGTTACTATCTACTCGCGGCGCGCCTATCATCAACAACGTCGTGATGTACAAAAGCCGGTCGTGATCCCCATATGTCACACAGGTCGAGGGGAGGAATGCTCGGATGACCAACCGCCCCCCCTCTCTTACTGAGCCACCACCGTGGGGAGCCGACACCACAGGCACACAACAGAGGACTACGGAGACACAGGTAAGTTTCAAAGGAGGAACAATCTTTATTGAACGATAAAACAAGGGGCATCAATTGGATAGCCTTCACTGTCCTCTAGATATCCTTCTGTCACGGGCGGGCGTGTCGCAACTGTCACGGCGTCCCCTGGGCGACAATTTAGGGACTCCGTTCACCAGCGGTGCTGCATGCTTCTGGACTCAAACAGTAAGTAGAACAGGTAAGGATATTCACAGTACCGAGAACTCTCATCGGCACACCATAATGGAACAATGGTTTGAAAGCTTACTTTTTCCCAGCAGTGCTGCAGACTTCCGAACTCGGGCAGTAAGTGTAGCAGGTAAGGATCCCTTGCAGTGCGCGGTACTCTTCGGTCCACAGGAGGGAGACAGTGAGTTAAAGGTTTGCTTCGCCCATGATGCTGCGTCCTTCAGTGATGCTGTATACCTCTGGACTCGGACAGTAAATAGAACAGGTAAGGCTCCTCACAGTACACAGTACTCTCTTCAGCTCGCAGTAAGGAGACAGTGAATTAAAAGGTTGCTTCCCAAATGATGCAGTGTACTTCTGGACTCAACAGTAAGTAGAGCAGGTAAGGATCTCCGCCGTACAACGTACTCTCTTCGGTACACAGCAGGAAGACAATGAATTAAAATGGTACGTTACCAGTGATGCTGTAGGCTTCTGGGCTCAAACAGTAAGTAGAACGGGTAAAAATCTTCACAGTACAATGTACTCTCTTCAGTGCACAGTAAGGAGACACTGGGTTAAAAAGGGTATGTTACCAGTGATGCTGCATGCCTCTGAACTCAACAGTAAGTGGAACAGGTAAGGATCTGCACAGTACTCTCTTCAATTCACAGTAAGGAGACAGTGGGTTAAAAGATCGTTTCTCCAGTGATGCAGTAGGTTTCTGGGCTCAAAACAGTAAATAACAATTAAGGACCTTCACAGTACAGAGTACCCTCTTCAGTGCAGCTGTATCTCACTGGACTTCCAATGGGGAGCAGATATAGTAAATTTCCACAAACGTGTAAATGGGGCTAGGGCCACTTCTCAGCAAAGGCACAGCACACTTGTGTTCACTTCAATTCCACAGCCACAAATCAATGTGTATCAATAAGGCAAAAGCACTGCAATTCACTCACACATTAAGGCTGGTCAGAGGCCCCACTCCGTTTGTTGCGCTCGCTCCACGAGGGATTTCTCTCTCAATTCCTCCTCAACACACTCTGAAACACATAGCTCTTCCGACAATCAGATCCACATTTACTGCATCCTCTTCCAGCAATTTAAACACTCATAAGATGAAATCAGTTCACTTATCTCTTCCCTCTCCTTCCACAGCACCAATCCAGACGATAGCTCAGTCCAGCAGACTTCCCACAAACGATCACTCTGATCCAGCAAACTCAAATGGCGATCTCCACACCCCAACGGTTTTCCTGAGGAAGCTTGTATCCAACACTGCTCCAAGTCAACCCTTTAGGCTCTTCAACACTTCCAACTCACTGAGCAACGCGAACCCACTGAACAACCCACTGAACATCAACTACCAATACTCTCTGAATGGTCCCTTTTTATCCTGGCTTGCGTAACAGGAAGCCTGTGTGAGCGCCACTTCTCTCTCTCTCACACCTGCAATGCATTAGCGCTAATCAGTGCGGGCATGTTTACATCACCGGAGTGGGGCGTGTTGCACACAATACCTTCCCCTGGGAAACTTAGGACTCTCAAGGGGGTTCCGCTTGCCGAGCGATTTTGTCACCCGTGACATCCCCCCCTGCCAATCGGTTCTAGTCCCTAGAACCGGCGTTTCCTCAATCCCATTCGCCATACCTCGCAGGTGGCTGTCCTCGGGTGTCCCGCTGAGATCGTCGGGGTGGCGAGGGCGGAGCCGCTCTGGCTTCAACTCCAGGGTCCCTCGGGACCACAGCCCACCCTACCATGGGCACCTCTGGGGTGGGTGGCGCGCCTGGAGCCTCAGCCTCTAGCTGCGGATAGTTCGGACATGGACGGAGCAGGTTTCGATGGAGCACCCTTATTGGTCCTGACTTCCCTTCGGGGCGTACAGAGTAAACGGGAGCATCGGGCCCTTGTCGTTGTTCCACCACATATGGCGTCGACTCCCAGCGATCGCTGAGCTTCCCCTTCCCGGGGCGCCGGTTGTCCCTTACCAGCACTCGCTCCCCAGGTAACAACGGGGCCTCTCGGGCAGTCCGGTCATATAACCGCTTATTCTTGGCGGCTGCTGCACTCAGATGGTCTGAGACTCGTCGGTAGGCATTGAGCAGTTGGTGGTGGTGCCGATTCACCCAGTCAGTGGTACTATACCCTCTTTCTGCAGTCTCGGTCCCCAGGAGCAAGTCCACAGGCAAACGGAGATGGCGCCCAAACATAAGGTAGGAAGGAGCATACCCTGTGACACTGTGCACACTATTGTTATAGGCTTGCAACAGCGAGGGAAGATTCTCGGCCCATTGGCCCTGTTGTTCACTCTCTAAGGTCCCCAATAACCCCAACAAGGTCTGGTTAAATCTTTCGCACCCCCTGTTACCCTGAGGGTGGTATGAGGTCGTATGGGTTTTTCGGCACCCATAAAGGTGGCTTAGCTCTTGGATGACCCGGGACTCGAAATTTGAACCTTGGTCTGAGTGTAGAGTTTCTGGGCAGCCAAAAGGTTGTATCACTGCTCTCCAAAGAGCGCTGGCCGTGGTAACTGCCGTTTGATCAACGGTGGGGACAGCCCAAGCATATTTGGTGAATAAGTCGGTCATGACCAGAATA